CACTATATCATAGTGTAAACCATTCCAAGCCCCTTAGTAATAAAGTGCAGTCAATGTTCAATATGACGCGTCATTTTATCGAACATATAAAATAAAAATAAAAAAATTAAGAAAAATGCTTGACCATACCTTAGATGAAAAATATAAAATTATGTCAGTAAAAATAAGTAGTGAAATTACTTGCATTCATAAAATCTTAAACGTACATGTAGTAATATGAAACTCACTGAATCGATTAAATGTCAATACATCAATCAGTCATTTATAACTCATGAAGGCCCGTTCGACATGAAAAAAACTCACTTTATTTCGTGTACGCTCTAAAATATAATTGTCCTGTTTAAAAAATTTTGTAAACCTTTATTTAAAGATTATCATTAATAATTAGGTGATGTTCTTGTACAACAAACTTGCACGACATATAAGAAATATTATTTGAATGAGATAAACGTCACAGTTAAAAAATTTTTAGTAATAATGAATCGCAATTTCATATAATATGAATAGTAATATTGAGTAAATGTACTCAAATTAATAAACTTTATTACTGGAAGTAAATAAGTTCATATATTTTCATGATATTAAAATACATAACCCTATAAAGATGTTTCTTAGGAATTATTTAAATATAAAACAAAAATTCTTTAATATTCATTATTGAAAATTTTAATTACATACTCTAAGCTGATTTTTAATTCTCAATATTAATAATTTAAAAATCATTGCTTTTCTCTCAACTTTCCTTTTTCAATATCTAATAATTTCATATTCTTAAAAACATAATTAACTAGTTTTACTTTCGAATAGTCGGTAACAAATTGTAATTATGGAATCAATTTTTTACTTACAACGTCTGGCAAATATATGACTGTAAAAAGATTAATGTGTTTCTTTTACCGCCAATAAAATAAAAAAATAAATGATATATTTTATTTGACGCATATTATAAAAACCTCTTTACCATCGATAAATTATGACAAACACGTAAAGTAAACAAAAATTTACTATTAAATTTTATTGCAACTTTCAAACTTCGATGATTTACAAAAAAAAAAGAAAAACATAATATAGCCAAATTAAATAATAAAGTAAAATAAATTTAAAATTGCATTTTAAATGACTATTTGCCTACTATCACGATGATTCATTTTAGCTACATATGTATTTAACATACACGCTACTTCTGGCTGCAGCTGTGATTTTAAACACATTCACATAGGCTTATTATGCATGTAGCAATGACGATAATAATGATGATGATTGATAATAAGTTGGAGATAAAAACAATTGAATAAATATGAGCTTCGAATAAATTGCAACATAAAAAGAATTATACATGTATGTGTGTATTAATGTTTATCGGTATATACGTCAAACTTTTGTCGTTTTGCCGGCGGGACGACATTCTTTTATTATATAATACATGATTGGTATATATACTAAACATCGTCATGTATGCTTTATTCGTTTTCTTCTTCAAAAGCTAAACGAATGAATATTAATGAATAAATATAATAATGCGACTAATAATTGTTATTTTAATCTTATTTTGTTCATTGTTTATGAATATATATCTATATACATCACATAAAAAATGTGAAACCAAGCGAACTGCAAAAAACGAGCATAAATTTTAATTATCGATTTTACTGTCTTATTTATCTGTTGAGTAAAAAACAGTATAAATTATCAGTGTATTAAATATTCTGGATTTATACAATCTCTTGATAATCAAAACTCTCTTATTAGAATATAAAAAAGAAGTACAAAGAAGTAAAAAGAAGTAAAAAGAAATAAAGAGGCGTACTTTATTATAAAGTTATAGAATTTCGCGATAAGATATAATTTCGCAATCAGAAATCCTTTCATGAACTTTTTTAAAGCATTATTTTAAATTCAATTTAATTAACAAATAACATTACTAAACAGCTTTTGATTAGCTTATTATTTCATAATTTTATTTAAAATAATTAGAAATTCATTTAAATTTCTATCATTAAAAAAATTCATTGTTTTCTTTGGTATAATTGAATTAACTGAAATATTGAAATATATGACTCGGATAAAGGAAAAATTGTTGAATTTATGTATAATATTAATTTTTATTTGCATTGATTAGATCTAATATGTATAATATATCCTTAATATTAACATATATATAATCTACTAAGGCGAGACAATTTATATTGTTAATTACTTGCATTAATCCTAGTAAATGTTATTTATAACGAATAGACGACTATAAGAAATATGAGATACACACAGTCGACACAATTAAAATGATGAAAAATGCCTATAATAATTAGATATATTACATTTACTTGCAAGCTCAATTATCGGACAAATATATAAATTCTTACAAACTCACAATTTATACTTTTGTTTCATTTATAACCGAAATCATATATATTATATGTTTTATAATTTATTAAAAAATTTTATTGATTCATTGTAATTATTGATAAATAAATATAATGATGTAGAAAATAACAAAATTCGCGATCCTTTGCGAATTATAAGATTCTATACTTAAACCCAAAAATTTAAATCTTTTCTAAACGTTTTCTAGGCGTTTTCTAAAATTTCTGTATGAAGACGATTTAAAAACGAAGATTTAAAAGGTAAAAACTATAAAACTCTTTATGGTTATGCAAATTCATATGAAGTATTAGAAATGATTATATTCATAATAAAACCGCAAGGAAAATACTACAGGAAATAAAATTAAATTTACAAGAAGTATAAAGTTTACAGAAGAAAAAAGTGTTGTGAAAAAAGTTAAAAGTATAGAATGATTGATTTACTCATACATGTATGGAGTAAAAAATATAGAGTACAAAAAGATACTCTTTTTCTAACTTCACCCCACCCCCCTCTACAACTCACTCTTTCAATATTTTCTCATGCCCAGATACCCCCACCCCTCCCATTCTCTTTCTCGCTCAATTTTTCTCTTTTCTAAATGTTCACAAAACTTCTAAAATGAACTCTATATCAAAAAGATCCCAATGTATAAAAATAAATATTATACATATTCCAAGATGTTATTAAATTTTGAACATTCGCAATAAATAAAAAGCGAGAGCTAATGGTATGTTTTACTAACAATCTTGTAATCATTCCATTACATATCGTATTAAAAATTAGTGCAAACAACGATAGAAGCTATTATTATATAGATTATTATATTATATATCCATGGAAATTATTATTATATCATAATTATTAAGTAATAAATATTGTTGTTAACATAATGCCTATACTTTGGCTCTCTAATATTAAACATTTTATATTAATTTGTTTATAATCCATACTAGAGAGAAAAATTAATTAGATTAAATAAATAATTAATTATTGAAATTAAAGAATAATTTCGAATATAATTAGAAATTGTGAAGATATTAGATTATTTCAAATTTAATTTTGGTCTCTAGTTTTGGAATTATTTGACATTACATTTTTCTTTTATTTATTTATAAAGTTAATCATTTGTACCAAAGGAAGTATAATTATAATAACTTTTATCATTTACCTATCTTCAATCTGTTTATTATTACAATAGTAATATCGTTACATAATTTATTAAATTGATAGCAGTTGACAGAAAAAATCTCGACTTTGAGACGTGTATAAAGTGTACAAATATATTGTTTATTTATTTCTTATTAAATGAGTGAGAAAAAATTTTTCCTCTTTGAAAATATAGCAGAACGGAGGGTCAATACTGCATAATTGAACACAATGTAACGTGGTCAAGATGCATAAGACTTATGCGTAACAGAGTATCGATACATATATACAAACATACAAACAGAACTGTAATCAGTAAAAATAAAATGTTAAAAACTATGACGATGATGATGATGATAATATTTATAATAATAATAATAATAATAATAATAATAATAATAATAATAATAATAATAATAATAATAATGATGATAATAATGATAATAATAATAATAATAATAATAATAATAATAATAATAACGATGGCAAGAAAATATAATAAAATAATAATAATAATAATAATAATAATAATAACGATGGCAAGAAAATTGTCATAGCTATTCTATAATAATGTTGATTAGTTGCTTTAATAAGCTTAATACTGGCGGCAGCACTATCGTTTCGGACTTCTCACTCGCTGCTTTTTTACGGGTAGTCCGCGGGCGTAGGGTTTGTACGCGTTTGTTGAAAGATAAAAGATGCCTCTTGCTCTGAAATGAGATTCGTTATTCTTTATTTAAGCATAGTATCTTGTGAAAGCTTATTGAAAAATTATTATTGGCTTACAATGTTAAAACATTATGTAAGAAAGTATTTTCGCATAATCTAATATATAATTTATTCGTTACCATTATGATTATTATTCTTATTTCTTTATTGAAAGTTGAATGGTATTTTATAAATTAAAATATATTTATATGGATCATGTTTGTATTTATATAGATTTCATCTATATTTATTTACATTGATTATATTTTTTTAATTTATATCGTTAATATTTGTCGATTATATATTGTATTAGTTATAATTAATAAGCTTAAAAAATTATTAAATATAAAACCAAAATTTATTCTTATTATTAGATAATATTTATTCAACATAGTATTAAATTTTGGCTAAAATGAAGCTATTATTATATTTACCTTCTTCATATTTAAATTATTCAATATTACAGAATTATCTATCTATTCTGATATTATCAAAAATAATTAGAAAATCGCATTGAATATAACATGATACTGAGTTATTAATCTTACGTATGTGGAGTATCTTCCCCCATTGGTACGTGTTCTTCCTCGGATGGGTTGCACCAACCTATCAGGTAAGAAAATAGATTTGCGCATGGCGCTGCCCAAAATCCAACCCTTGTTGTTATCGACTCTATATAATAAGGCGTGACTTTTGTATGGTCGCAAGATAGTGTCTCTAGAAAATGTATACAAATCAATAATTTCTTCCCATTGAATTTTAAACAAGGCAATCGATATATAAAAGCTCAACTATTCATATTTTTTTTAATAATGGTTGTTGTAATATTAATAACTGCCACAGTTAAAGAAACATCAATAATAATAATAATAATAACAACGGCAACAAAAACAACAACAGCATTAATAATAATAATAATAATAATAATAATAATAATGATGATAATAAT